ATTACACAAAAAAATGAGGAATTTCAAATAGTTAATTTGATACTAATATCGATATATTTTTGTCAAATTTTTATGATATCTTCAAACATATATTTTATTTAAAAATTAAAACATCATCCTTTTCTCAAAATCACATAAAGTCATATTATAACACCGACTGAGATAAAGAATAAAATGAAATATTAAAATCACGATGTATGTCGCCGCATTGCGCGAGTACGCTTATAGTATATATATATATATATATATATATATATATATATATATATATGGAGAATATAACTATTTGAAAAATCAACAATTTTTAAAATAAAAATAATAGTTAAATTAACAATAAAAGATTAGTGTAAGTCACCAATTATATGCAATTATTATTGTTATCAAAGGCATCCATCTTGATCTTATCACAATGCCACCATATACAATGCATGCCATGATAACTAAACTTAATTCTAATCCATAATTATAAGTTCATTGTTTTTCACTTTTATTAATAACTAATAAACTTGAGGTTTATTCATACCATAATTAAATAAAAACATATAATTGTTTTTGAGAATGACGATTATATATCAATCACAAACTTTTGGGTCCCGTTTTTGCGACTATAACAGTTTTTTTCTTGAAAGTGTAATTACTTTGCTTAATATAAACCAAGTATAATTTTAATTTAGAGAAAAAAAATATATAAAATTTATTAAGTTTTCTGAAAATATTAAATATCGTCGTTAACTTCTTATTGAATTACGGACATGAGTTTAAAATAAAGTAAATTGAAAAGTTTCTTAAGTTAAAAAAATATTTTAAAGAACACACTTATAAAAATAGGGACAAATATATTCAAAAAACGCGTAGGTATAAATAAGCTGAATTATTTGAAAAATAAAATAATTAGAAAAAGGAAAAAGAGAAATTGAATTAAATTCGAGAGAGCTGGATGGGAAACATGGCCATAATTAAGACCAATCTTGTACGGTATAATGTACCCTCATTTTAATATGTACAACTACAACTACTACCAGTGTAATTATTATTATTATGATTAGATATATTAAATTCATGGGAAATGCGGATCTACATAATAACTCCTTTCTAAATAATTTTTATTCCATTATTGTGACATCTTTTTTATCTCATTAATCTACAAGATTTATGAAATCAGATTATTTTTACATTTTATATCTAATAATTATGATATTAATCTTTTAAATTTAAATTTAAAATAATAATATTATGACAGTTGTAGATGAGCAGCATGGTTTTTTTTATTTTTTATGTTAAAATGTTATTTAATTACAAAAATTAGTTTATGTTAATAGGTGCTTGGTTGTTTGGCTGACCTAGTCTCAACTCTCAAGATCCCGCACCTCTTTCAACCAATGCTCACTTGCCACTTGGCTATTTTTATATTATAAAGCAATTTATAATAATTATAATTCCATAAATAAATTTAAAAATAAAACACACAACCGATTAGCATTAGCATTAGCATTAGCATTGTATATTTATTTGTCTTTCACTTGTGCTGTTTTTAGTATAATTCATCATAAAAATATGAATACGAATATGAATGAAGAAGGGTCATTTTAATATTTTATTTGGCAATTGAATTCAATTAAATCGATATAATAATATGTAAAAATAAGATGCGTAGATTCTCTCAAATAAAAAAATAAGCATTATTCTGTAATTTCTCGTAGTTTTGCATGCTTTAATGGTTACTAGAAGGGTACTCGTACGATGTAACGAAATACATCTCGATTTTAATGTTTCGTTTTTTTTTTTGTCTCAATCAATGTTATAAAATAGTTTTATGTGTTTTTGTGAAAACAATAATATTTTTATTTTTGAATAAAATATAAATATGGAGATATATCGTAAAAAAATAACAAAAAAGTTATTGATATTAGTACAAACTAATTATTTAATTTTTTTATATTTATTTAATTCATTTTTTATTTGATAATACAATTTTTTTTAATAAAGATAATAATCAAGTATTTTGTTAGAACTCAATGATTATCTTAATTATATTTTAGATTTTTTATATTTAAAATAAGATATTTATCATCTATTTGATTATGTTTATCTGCAGTTAGTTACACGAATTCAAAAATAAAGTTTTATTAAGTTGTACTTACGCATAATTTACTTGTAATCTTAAATTTTAAGTAATATGCATCAATAAACAGTAATATTTCATGCATAAAAAATAATTTTTAAAAGTTTTTGTCAAATATTTTATAATATAATATAAATAAGTTATGTTAAATAGATAGAAATGGCACTAAAAATATCTTATCACACAAAAATATACGCATGTCATATTTAATAACAGATGTATTTAATCTTAATTTTACAAATCATAAATACAAAAAAAATGTTATTATTTATACTTTTATCTTTTCTAATAAATATTTTGGAGACATAATTAATGTAGTTGAATAAAAGAAAAAAAATTGGATTTTAACCTAAAAGGTTGGTATATAGGGATCGTATGAGAAAAAAAAGTTATGGTGAGAAATGTAAAAAGAGATCTAAATTATTATTACTTTTAATCTCATATCCACCTATGAATTGCTCTTTAAAAGAGAATTGATCATGTGTATCTTGATGTATTCCATTAGTGTTGACATACAATTAGAATTGACCTAATGATGAAGATCTCTTATTACGTTTATCACCATAACTTCCTTTTTCACTTGCACCCAACTTTTACATAGACACCCTAACATTTATTTTTTCATGCACTCAATCCTTGAAATGGTTGCTTAAATGTTATTATCGTATTTGCTTTGAAAACTAACGATTAACAAATGCTTCAAGTTTAATATTATAAATCACGATCGATTAATAGGTGCTTCAAGCTCGATATTTAAATCATAATAATAACAATGATAAGTTTTATACATATTAAGCCATGAATTTCAACATAAACTCTAAAAGTTGTTTGTTTACCTCTTAATAGTTCCATTAACAGGCAACCTCTGAATCGTTAAGAGATGAATCTTGTTTGGCAAAAAAAAAAATCTATCTCTTAGTGGTTCTAAAACCTCCTGAATGATTTTGTATCTTGGATCTCCTTTAACCATTAAGAGCCATAATTTCATTGTACACAATTACCAAACAATTATATTTCATTTTGCACTATATCATGAGAGCCTTTTAATCATTTTGACCACTTAATCATTCTGCACCAAACCATTCAGCAATTGCCAAACTTATTTCCTCCGTTCCATTTATCTAAAAATTTTATTTGTTATGTCTTTGCATGTAATCTTGATCATAGTTGAAACCCTATGTTTCTTAATACCTAGTTGAAGATATAGTTCTTGTAATTGATGCATAAAAGTCACATGCCTAAAATTATCAAACCATCATATAACAAGTTGGGTTCAGGTAAGAAGAGAAGTATAAGAAGAGATCTCCACTCTCAAATCAATCCTAATTGAATTTCAGAATTAATGAGGTGCATCTCGATCAATTTCCTTTTAAAACGTAATTTATGAGTGTGTATAAGATTAAAAGTGATCAAAAATTTAGATATCTTCTTATGCTTCTCACCATAACTTGTTTTACCGTCTAAAGATTTGCAATACATATATTTTGTATCAACTTATAATTTGGTTTTTTCAGAAAAATACTCAATTCGTGAAAGATATAATTTTTGGCTGATATGTTTGGTGCAAAATGTCACTTTTTTTTGTTTGTGAATGACTAAAATGTCGATGTAATTCAAGTCTATTCCACGTGCCGTCTCTCTCTCTCTCTCTCTCTCTTCTTTCTTTCTCTCTCACGCACGAACACCATGAGTGTGTGATGGCTTTTATATAAAGGCCAAACTTTCGCGATTATAGACATTGGACAAACACACCAACTTCTGCAACTCTACTCCCTCTGAAATCTTGATTCAAAAAGTGCAACCGAAACAGAGCATCATCCAATTCGGATGTTCAAACCCTTCTCACCCACCAATCTCTATCTATCTATCTAATCTAAGGTAATTCATCCTCTATCCTTCTCCAAAATTTGAATTATTTCTTTACTCAATCAGATTACACATATTTTGTGCTTTGTCTTGATGCCCACAAGGTTCTCGACGAAATGTGTCAGTTATGTTTCTTTTTGTACTTTTGAGTTCTTGATTGTTAAAGGTTCTGTTTTTCTTTGTGAATGGCAAATGGGTATTTGCAGAATTTGTTTGTCTGTGTGATGAGTTCGCCTGAGAAACGTTTGATCTCATCTCCCTTTATATATGTATATGCATATGTGAATGTATGCTTCTGTCCACATTTACTGTCCTATATGGTTAACACCATTTACTGTTTTTTTATCGAACTACTTTGGTTCTGTAGTTGCAAATCTTTATTCTTTTACAGGTTATGTGTCAGTTGAGTGTTGTTACAGCTCATTTGACAAATCATTTTGTTGCTATTAATTTATTTTTATTAATAGAGACCAATGAAAGAATTCAAACAAAAATGGCTTTTTATTTGCTTTAGTATCGTGTTATGTTAATGGTTGTCTTTTTGATCAATGCCACAGTTTTTACAACTCTCTTTTATCAACAAAATCTTGAATTATCTAAATTACTAAGTAATGCGTCTCATTTACAGGAAAAAATAGGTCTCACAGGCTGTTCAAAATTCAAATCACCCTTTGGACGTGCATGGGGTTATCATTTTCGTGCCCCTTCACTGCTTATACAGATTTAGAGAAAGTTTCAAGGTCCATCGCCATCGGTTTAGAGGACGATGAAGTTAAAAGTTTGATGCAATCTAATAGTTTCAGAAACCAAGATTCTGAAACAACTGTAATTCAGTCAATGGGGACTGAGAATTTGAGGATCGAAAGATCTGTTATCTTTGAAGTTCCTTTGGCTGAAGAAACAGGAATAGATTATGCCAAAATGAAGGAAATGTGTACTGGATTTCCGGGATTCGACAATGTGATGGATGAATTCACGAAAACGTCCATTTTTGATCCAGGGAGCCCCGAACATGAAGCAGCCATAAAGTTACAAAAAGTGTATAAAAGCTTTCGAACCAGAAGAAAGCTGGCAGATTGTGCGGTCCAAATCGAACAAAGCTTGTATGTGTTATTTGTAATTCAGTATTTCTTCAACTTGTTTGTGGTTTTTAGTGGCATTCAAAAGTTTTCTTTTCATTAACACTGCTCTATGTTAATTATTATAGGTGGAAGCTCTTAGATTTTGCAGAACTGAAAAGGAGTTCCATATCGTTTTTCAATCTAGACAAGCAAGAAACTGCCTTTTCACGTTGGTCGAGAGCTAGAACAAGGGCTGCCAAGGTATATTCACATGTGAATACGATAGCTAATGAATTCCCTAGTAAATGCAAAAAGATAAACGAGTTTCCTGTTATTCTTTGCTTTTCCAGGTTGGGAAAGGCTTATCCAAAAACAGCAAAGCACAAAAACTTGCTTTGCAACACTGGCTTGAGGCGGTAAGTGAACCGAACTCTCATTTTCTGATTGATGTTACATACAACTTATCTATATCTATATATCCCATAGAGATGGAGTCTTAATTAGTTTCAACTTGTTTTTCTATAACAGATTGATCCAAGACATCGATATGGGCACAATCTTCACTTCTATTATGGAAAATGGTTGCTCTCTCAAAGCAAAGAACCCTTTTTCTACTGGTAAATACATATAGCAAGCTTCAATTCTCAGCAAGATTAATGCTTAAGTAGTTCCTGAATCTAATCTATTTGATTCAAACACTCAGGTTGGATATAGGAGAAGGGAAAGAAATAAATCTTGTCGAAAAATGCCCAAGATCAAAACTTCAGCAGCAATGCATCAAATACCTTGGCCCAGTATGTCTCTTGTTAATTCCTCTTACCATTAATCCCGAATTTTGACTCTATATGAAGTATAAAAAACAACCGAAAAATGCTTACCAAGATTTCTTGATTTTGATCGATAGATAGAGAGGAAGGCATATGAAGTTGTGATGGAAGACGGAAAGCTATTGTTCAAACAAACTGGGGAGTTCCTTGATACTACCGGTGAACCGAAAGGTGCTAAGTGGATATTTGTCCTTAGTACGTCAAAGATTTTATACGTTGGAGTAAAGAAGAAAGGGTCGTTTCAACACTCGAGTTTTCTGGCCGGTGGAGCCACATTGGCCGCCGGGAGAATCGTTGCTGAGAAAGGAACGATAAAGGTATATGATCGGACCAATTAGTTATAAGATTTCTGCTGTTAATTATCTCGTCTTTCTTTGGACATATAACATGATCAGTTAATTAAAATGCATAGTTTTTTCGATTTTTTTCGCAGGCAATCTGGCCTCATAGCGGCCATTATCGTCCTACTCAAGAAAATTTTCAAGATTTCATTTCATTTCTCCAGGAGAATAATGTGGATACAACTTATGTTAAGGTAAGAATGAGATTTTTCTTACATATGCTGCAAATTAAAATCAAGATTCATTTTGATTCATTCTTACATTTGTATTGTTGTTCTCAGATGGATTCGGACGATGATAAGGAGCTTTTTGGCAGTCATATAAGAACTCACTCATCAGAAGAAGATATGAGCGAAAAAGAGCGTCCTCAAAACATCAACGACCCCTCGTCCGACAACACGAATGTTATAAAACAACATGCTGGTTTTCCATCGGAATCACCAATGAATCCGAAACTCTTCCATAAGAATCTAAGTACCCTTGAAATACCAAACAGTAGTGATGATACTTTATCTTCATCTTGTTCGAAAGATTTCGGTCTTGAGACAATCTTGGATGGTTACGAAGCAGCAGAAGACGCGTTTGATACCCACAAAGCTAATTACGTTCCGTCAGCACATGAACTATCGGACGATGAAGACGAGCCATGTGTCCTTGAAAGGATCAAATCACATAAAGAACCAAATTCTTGTTTTCAGTTGGGAAGACAGTTATCTTGCAAATGGAGCACGGGAGCTGGACCTCGAATCGGTTGTTTGAGAGACTACCCGACAGAACTACAATCGCAGGCGTTGGAAGAAGCCAATCTGTCGCCAAGAAGCGCTCCGAGCTGCAGCCTCAGATATACGAACACGGTGTTGTGCACGAGCCCTCTATCGTTCGAAAACCGGAGTCTGCTGCGAAGAAATAATCGTCCTTATCGGACACAATCGACCCCGTTAAATATGGGGTGGATGAACGAAAAGCAATCAAGAAATACAAGATTGTTTGATTAAAATTGATTAATTTTTTGAAGTTAGGCATTATTAGTTAATTCAATTGTTTGGATAAGGTGAGGCTGAGGCATGTGTTTTTGTTGTTGTTTGTACAAAATACAGATGGAAAAAGGAAAATGTAGATGTAGATGTAGATGTAAATGTAAATGGCTGTCCATTCCTAATTCATATCTACACTTAAATCAAAGAATTTTCCAACTTCACTCTTCATTCCATTTTGTTGTTTTATTTAAAAGGAAAGGGTTGTTTAACTTGATTGAGAGAGAGAGAGAGAGATGGAGTGTTTGGTTTAAATGTTAATCAAGTTTATTGTGTTAACTTTGTTAATCAATCTTGGCCATTGATTCTTACAATAAACGGTTGTGATTTATCATATTAAAAATTTAATTTTTTAAATTTACAATTTCACAAATATGTGTGAACTAAGTGGAAAAGGGTATTTATGTAATTTTCTTTTTTATGTAACTCTCAAATCATTAATTGGGAGTTACAAAATCAAAAAATCCCATGATTGTTATGAAAACTCACACACACACACACACACACATATATATATATATATATATATATACACATGAACCATTGTGTCAAATACGAACAAAAATTAACATACATATGAATTTGGATTGCATAATATTTATGAACACAATATTAACATAATAAGAATAGTTGTTATACAAAATAAATAAATAAAAAAACAGGTATGAACAGCTTGTGAACAATAGTTATTTCATCATGAACATATTAAGGAGCGAATCAATGTTGAGATATGCAGTTAGTGTACATATGAACACAATATGAACACTTGTGAACAATAATTTCTTTATTATGAACACAGTCAGAAACTTTTTTTATGTAACTCCCATATTATTAATTGGGAGTTACAAAATCAAAAAATCTCATGATTTTTGTTAATTTATTATTGATCTTGTTTTTTTATTATATAATATTGATTTTTCTATTTGATAATGTTTTTGAATATGTGAATGGTAGAGGAGACCCAGTAGTAAAGTTTTTGGTATCACTCAATCTATTATGGATAAACCTATTGTTTATAATGAAGGAACTATTATTTACAAGTGTTCATATCGTGTTCCTATGTACACTAGCTACATATATCAACATATGTACTTTTGTCATTAAATTATAAAATGAATATGAATCTATATATAAGATGGATTGTCAAAAGTTTAAAATAATCAATAAAGTTAATACAATAAATTTGGTTAATATTTAAACCAGACTCTCTCTCTCTCCCTATATAAAACAATAAATAATAAATATGTACTTCAAGGTACTACATGACATGACATATATAACTAAATATAAAAAAAGTCAAAAGTAAAGAAAAGTCCTTGAAAACCCCACTATTCATGCCCCAAGGTTTTGGTCCATTCTTTTTGTAATAAAAAAACCTTAACTTGTACTTGTGCTTAAACCCCTCACATCACATTCCATTAATCAATGGAACATGGAAACTACATGTGGTTGAGATGCACAATCCCCATTTTTAATTAAGATCGAATGGTTTTGTGTAGAATTATTAAGTGATCGAAATGATTAAGAGACTCTTATGATATAGTGTAAAATGAAATATAATTATTTGATAATTGTTTACAATGAAATTAAGGCTCTTAATGGTTAAGAGATGTCCAATATACAAAATCATTTAGAGGGTTTTAAAACTATTATGAGACATTTTTTTTTATCAAACAAGATTTTTTACATATTAACGATTCAAAGATTGCCTCTTAATAAAACTATTAAGAGATAAACAAACAACCTCTTACCCTCATTTTAACTTCCCATTAAAACTAAATAAATAATGTGATGTCACTTTTTGGAGTTCACGTAAATCTATATGTCTGATTCTTGATATTTCTGAGCTGTCATACCACGTCCCGATTCATAGCTGTATGCATTTATCTTTGTATATTGTGTCATGTTTTATAACAACATATAATAAATGTATTTTGAAAGAAACGAAGAAATATGTTTGGGGATACTTATATAAGAATTCTTATAATAATCTATTTAGGATAGGTTTAACAAATTAATTGGTAATTGATAAATTAATTGATAAACAAATTATGTTTGACAAAACTAGTTGATAAGAATGTAAAATGACTAAAAATTGTATCGTGAAAAATTAATCAATTATAATATTTCAAAATACTAGAAGAATACTCGCAAAATGCAGCGAGATACATCTCGATTTCAATGTTTCATTTTATTATGTCTCTATCAATGTTATAATACGACTTTATGTGGTTTTAAGATATCGATAATGTTTTTATTTTTGAGTAAAATATGAATTTGAATATATCATAAAAATCTGAATAAAAATATATTGATATTAATATCGAGATAACTATTTAAAAGTTCTCGGTTTTTGTGTAATTTTTTTATTCAATTTTTTTATTATATTTTAATTTAAGTTTATAATAAAATAATTTATTTTTGGTTTAATCATATAATTTTTATAAAAACAATAATTAAGTATTCTGTTAGAACTCAATGATTGTCTAATTATATTTTAGATTTTTTATTTAAAATGAAATGATATTTGATTATATTTATTTGTTGTTAGTTACACGAATTCAAACATGAAACTTTAATAAGTTGTACTTACKCACAATCTAGTTGTAATCTTAAATTTTAAGTAATATAGATCAATAAACAGTATTTTATACATAAAAATAGTTTTTAAGATTTTGTCAAATGCTTTATAATATAGTATAGATAATT